CCCCCCAAGTGAGACCTCACAGATGCATTTCCTTCATCACCCCCTACTGCGTCCTAACAAAAATCAAACAGGCCGAGTGGGACCCCCTTGAAATGGCTACAACAGGTGCGCTAACCCGGGAACTAAAGTGCAGAGGGTCACCAAGGGATATAAGAAACTGGAGGCTCACCACACGATCCCCGCAGGCTCCTTCACAGAGATCCCCCCAGACAGGAAGTTAGCTGTGCATAGAAATAGCTCTTCCCCTCAGGATCAGAAAGTCATCTCCACCATCTCCCATTACTTCTGAAACTTTCAGCTTTGTCGATACCAATTGCTGCCAAGAAAAAAGTAGAATTTGGTTTCACCGGCCCTCAGTCGGGGGAAGTAATCAGTCGCCTTGCAGGCAAGGAGTTAAACCTCCCCTGCAGAGAGAGCCATTGTTTAAATCCAACTTATGTGCATCCGATCAGTTAATATCTCTCTCGGTGAATGCCGGGGCCTGCTGATTCTGGAGAGCGACGCGGTTACTTTGGCACACAATCAGACGCTTGCAGAAGGGAATTAAGCACAGCGAGTTCCTAATAAAACATTCTGGACATCAGGCTGGAAATAAAAGATCCCCATTGTCCAGGGCCGCCGCTGTTCTGGAGTGCGCAAGCGGAGATGGAGAGGAGAGTGCGAAACGGCGCTGGCTGGGTATCGTTCCATCAGCTGCGCAGTACAAACATTCCACTGTACATGGCTGGGACGCGCTGCCACACAACAATAATCTATTAAAGGGGCTATGAAAGCAGCACTGCAAAAGGAGGCAAAAAAAACGCCCAAATGACTGACCTCGGGTATTGAAAAGTGTTATTTGGGACAGCCCCAGACCTGCAAAATGTGTGCAAGCTAAAAATGAACATGTCGCACCTTCATACCATTGGAAAGACACTGCTAAATACATACCACCAGAAGAGCTTACACTCCAATACCCCCACCGGTCAGAAACAAATTATACATTTACAAAGCTCTGACATATTCAATCATGCTGTACAGAGAACACAGAGCCATGCACATCAGTCTCTGCACCAGAGGAGCTTACACTCTAATGTCCCCACCACAGTCACACACACTAGGATTATTATACATTCATATAACACTGAGCCAGTCATAGCCTTTGCACCAGAGGAGCTTACAATCTAATGCCCCCCCCCCCCCCTTCCGTCACAGTTCAGTTACACAGGAAGATTCAAAAAGAATAATGTTTTTTGTTTAATTCATTAACTGAGCGCTCGCTCTGCCACAGAGATGTGTCGCTAGTTTATGGTCTGTTGTCCCAGAAGGAAAAAAATATATATATACACCTTCTCCATTGACAGCCAGGCTGGACAGAAGAATGTTAGAACTGGGACAGATATACATATTGTAATGCAGAACACCGGAAAAGATGTCACGTGCCGGGAATAATTCCTATCGGAGGGCAGAGGAATGTCACACAGCTCTGCGCTCACATCCTGAGGCAGAACATACCTGGAAACAATAAACAGATTTCCAGGACCTCGAATGACCCCGCAGGAAAAGATGTGACACCTCAAGAGCCACCCCGGAAGTCCGAGTGCAAGAAAAACAGCAGAACGATGCATGATAAGCCAGCCATGAGTATGAAGGGAAAGGGTCCCAGAGAATAGCATAACAAGGTGTGGAGGGGCCCCAGAGCATTGGAGCAAGGTGTGGGGGTAGGGGCCCAGAGAGGTAGAGCAAGGCATCAGGGGGCTCAAGAGGACAATAGGTAAGGCACCAGAAGGACCCAGAGAAGGGTGAAGCAAGGCAT